ATATATAACTGATTGATTTTAATAAATTGATTATAAATATGAGACTTGCCTTTGTCCAGAAAGGTTTTGTTCTACAGAGACTGCTGGTGTCCTGCACCGCCTGACTGAAGTTCTTCATCTCCATGTTCAGCTCAGCTCGCTGATACAGCAGGCTGCCTGAAGAGGGCGCTGTGGATTAGAGCAAAAACACACAACGACCAGTCAGAGTGGTGATCAGAGCTCCAGGGCAGGACCAGGTGTTTCCAGGTCCTGCAGAAGAACAGCATTAACACAACATTTGGAACGACACCAGTCTGAACACTGAGCTGAGTCCGTACAGAGCTCGTCACTTTAATAAACACCTCATTGTGTCATTCAGCAACAAACTCTTGTTGTCAACTTTCTAAATTAAACTTCAGAAAATGGTCACTAAAACACACAAAGTTGTTTTCAAAACACACAATAGAAGTCATTATGAGTTAGGATTTGTTTTCCAACACTACTCATAAAATCAAAGACAGGAAGAAGACGAGCAGATCCTTGTGAACCACAAACACATGGTGAACAACTTGTTTGACCTGCGACCACTCAAATGGGCCAAATAATAAAACATAAATAAAATAAACATTTCACGAGTCCTAAAGTCACAGTTACACCAGATCTTCTGTGACATACAGGAGAACAGAAAGTCAAACTGTGAAACACTCAGTAAATGAACATTAAGACAAAAACAACACTTTTCTAATCTTCAGACCAGTGAGAAATTAAAGACCAAGTTCCCAAAGTGTGCAACTTTTTTGTAAAGTAAACATTGGGATTTTAACAAAAGTATTTCATTTTTAACAGGTGTTTCCCTGAATGCCACCGTTCACTAGTTGTGATATTTAAATGGGGTTCACCCACATTTACATGTAAAGAACCACACAATTCTATGTAATAACTAAGGCTGCAACGATACAGAAAATTCATGATTCGTTTCGATACTTTAGTCTCACGGTTCGATATTTATTCNACTTTAGTCTCACGGTTCGATATTTATTCGATACAAAAAAAGAGAAATGTCCATGTCCCTTTTAACTTGTAATTTATTTATATTAATTATGAACATTTGTTTAACTTTAAAAGCACAGTTTTTAAATTAAATGTTGCTGAAACAGCAAGTTTCTCAGTGGATCTGTGCTCAAAAATGCAGCCTAGGTGGAGTAGTGGAACACAGATCCAATGATCCTTCAACACAGAGCATCTTCAGAAGACAAGCTGATAAAATAAATTTTATAAATCTGTATTGTTCCATACAAGTGTGTATTGTACCTAAAGTACTGTTCGATACGAGTACATGTATTGTTGCAGCCCTAATATTAATTCAACCACAGACTGGTGAAGCCCTGTCCACCTTTACTTCCGAGAGATTCAGCCACTCTACAGTTTTATCCTCTCACTGACCTGTTGGTAATAACTTATTTAGTTGTGAAATACTCCTCCAGCTGTTTCTCATTTGTAACACTTACTTTTACATCCTTTCATTGCCCCGTCCCATCTTTCTTTTTAAATGTGTTGCTGTCAGAAAATACCCTCCCCATAAAAATAAAAAATGAATGAAAAACTATAAACATTTCTTAGTTTAAACATTAAATTTGTGACCCATCACATTGAAATGAGGATTAAGTTAAAATTGGTCAAAATGACCTCATCATATTTTCAGATTCTTGTCTTTAAAAGCTACATTTTCATCCTTAGATCATCCTGATTTCATTAAGTAGATCTAGAGATATTATTTAATTTGTCTTGTTGGTTACAATAATACATAAATACTTGGTCTCAATCCTAATTTTATGTAACTTTGATGATTATTTTTGTGTCATTTTAAAAAAGAAACCTCAAATAGTATTTGAATATTGAGATTTTACAGCTGGAAAGAAACAAAACTTTGCTAGCTCATAGGGGTGTAAGAAAATATCGATACACTGAAATATTACGATATTTCATTTCCCGATACTGTATCGATTTTTAATTAAGGTTTAAAATGTCAACTTTCCTGCCAGTCGTTCATTTTTATGTTGTAGTTCAGCCTCTGACCACTAGTTGGCAGCAGTGAGCCAGACATTTGGCTCCTCTACCTCTTGAGCGCCAGAGAGTAAGGGAGCATTGTGAGTAAACATTAGCTTCATGCTCCGATAGTTGAACCTGAGCGGAAAAG